ACTCTATAAAAAGTAGGTAATTACATGAAGAAAAATATAAAATAAAATGCAACCACAAATTGTACAAAAACATTGTTTTATTTAATGAGAAACTTTACCTCTAAAAAGACAATTCAGTTCAATAACTTTGTAAACATTTACGAATGAATTAGTTCAATTTAGCCATAAGGAATTTTATAGCACACAAAAGTTTCATTATTCACTTTGTGTCAGCTTGATGTTGATTTAATCAAATTCAATATCAGTGAAAATATTGCAAAATTAATACATTATGAAACAAAGTCTTGGCGATAAAGCAGCTGTGGAGAAAACAGTGATATCATAATCCAGCTCAATTCAGTTCAAGTCTTGTCTTTATGCAATAGTGTCAGTACAATCAAATCAATATTCTGCTTGAATATTCAGTGTCGTTTAAACCGCAGCTAAGCAAGCCAGAGGTGACAGTGGAACCCAAACTCCAGCAGGTGACTGAAACAAAGAAAAAAACAGCTTGGGAGAAACCAGGAGCAGTCAGCTCAGCTCTCCTTTGGTTAAATGAACAAAGATGGTGTGCTTATGATTTCAGTGTGCATCACTAGTGAGACTGTGGACTGATGTCATTCAGAATATTTCATCCAGCTCCTGCTGTTTGAAGATCAGGATACAGGATACGTCACGCTATCATTTGATCAGAGGAGAAATTGTAGTCTGTCCAGCAGGGCTGCCGTTTAGCCAGTAGTGGACGACTGGATTAACAGTGACTATAAGCAGGATAAAACTGCATTGTGGTCCTAGCAGCTCCTGGCCTGACACATTCATTGCTGGCCATAGGGGTCTGTGCAAAGGACTTGTCTGTTTCTCGTAGTCTTTGCTGAGGATCTGTGCTGATGTCAGTCCAGTCGTCTCAGGTCGTCTCAGGGTGCAGGTCCACCATCTGATCTGGATATGGACCGGATCCGGCTGACTAAGATAACCATAGGACAAGAGTGCGACAAAAACATTGAAATAAGTAACAAGTATCGGTGTTGACTTTTTCTCACAGCACACAAGTACATTTTCATACAAAATTTCATGACATCTCATAGCAAAGGTTACTGTTAAATGTAGGATGTAAAAGTAGGTTATTACACGTTAAAAGCTGAAGTGTGTATCATTGTCAGTATTTGACAAACTAGTTGGCTAAATCAAGTTTAAAACTCTTTAAAAAAATTACTCTTTTAAAAAGTAATTTAATCTTACTTTTAAAGATGAAGTAGAATATCGAAGGATGAAGTAGAATCAAAAACCAGACTGGAGCACTTGAATGAGCTGTGAAGCTGCAACAGAACACACACATACAGTATCTTAGTATTTTTTAATTTCATATAAATTATCTGAAACAACATTACAAGAGGTGAGGAATATATTTGTCAAAATATAAACAAAAATAGACTTGAACTAATATTCTAGAAGTTTATTCTCACCTGCAGTTATTCCTGAAGAGGGGTGAAATTTACCTAACGTTACATATACGATTAAATACCATCCAAATAGGCCTATTATTAACATACTCAAATCTATGATAATGCTAATAATGCTAAAGAGATAACCTTAACATTCCACAACGCAATTTCAAAAATTAAAAACTACAACAAAGCAATTAACAACTTTAATAATGTTAATGTTACTGGCAACTGTACAAATAAAGCATATTTTAAAAGTATTCTTACCGAGTTCAGTCGTCTTCAACCTGGCCGGCCGCAGCTTCTCCACTCTGAGGAGGATTTCTGAGACTGCACCGTTTAAAAAAAAAAAAGTGTTCGGATTGCTAATCCTCGCCAGTGTCCATAATGAGTCCGCTAACTTGGATTAACAGTGACTATAAGCAGGATAAAACTGCATTGTGGTCCTAGCAGCTCCTGGCCTGACACATTCATTGCTGGCCATAGGGGTCTGTGCAAAGGACTTGTCTGTTTCTCGTAGTCTTTGCTGAGGATCTGTGCTGATGTCAGTCCAGTCGTCTCAGGTCGTCTCAGGGTGCAGGTCCACCATCTGATCTGGATATGGACCGGATCCGGCTGACTAAGATAACCATAGGACAAGAGTGCGACAAAAACATTGAAATAAGTAACAAGTATCGGTGTTGACTTTTTCTCACAGCACACAAGTACATTTTCATACAAAATTTCATGACATCTCATAGCAAAGGTTACTGTTAAATGTAGGATGTAAAAGTAGGTTATTACACGTTAAAAGCTGAAGTGTGTATCATTGTCAGTATTTGACAAACTAGTTGGCTAAATCAAGTTTAAAACTCTTTAAAAAAATTACTCTTTTAAAAAGTAATTTAATCTTACTTTTAAAGATGAAGTAGAATATCGAAGGATGAAGTAGAATCAAAAACCAGACTGGAGCACTTGAATGAGCTGTGAAGCTGCAACAGAACACACACATACAGTATCTTAGTATTTTTTAATTTCATATAGATTATCTGAAACAACATTACAAGAGGTGAGGAATATATTTGTCAAAATATAAACAAAAATAGACTTGAACTAATATTCTAGAAGTTTATTCTCACCTGCAGTTATTCCTGAAGAGGGGTGAAATTTACCTAACGTTACATATACGATTAAATACCATCCAAATAGGCCTATTATTAACATACTCAAATCTATGATAATGCTAATAATGCTAAAGAGATCACCTTAACATTCCACAACGCAATTTCAAAAATTAAAAACTACAACAAAGCAATTAACAACTTTAATAATGTTAATGTTACTGGCAACTGTACAAATAAAGCATATTTTAAAAGTATTCTTACCGAGTTCAGTCGTCTTCAACCTGGCCGGCCGCAGCTTCTCCACTCTGAGGAGGATTTCTGAGACTGCACCGTTTAAAAAAAAAAAAAGTGTTTGGATTGCTAATCCTCGCCAGTGTCCATAATGAGTCCGCTAACTGACAGTGCACTGTCTGGAGGCGGGGCATATTCTGGCCGAATGACCGAACAGAGTCTGACAGTACAGCGGAGCTGCCGACTTGAGGGCGGATCTGCCCAGGAGTCTGTTGCTATCAGGATACTGTGCGTGTAAACATACAACCATGTCTGCATTTGTGATCGGAGAAATGACAAACAACAAGCACTACTCTACACTGCTCAAAACTCATGTTTGAATCGTCACTGGCAAATTCTTTAAATATAAAAAACTTATTTAAAGTCTGTGAGTCAGAACAGCCGGTATTGTAGTCTACTCTACCAGGATCAGGAAACAGTCCTCCATAAAATGTGCTGCACACATCTGAATATTTGGGTTGAAGTGTTCTGGAACAGTGTTGTAAATACAACTTAACCACTGATTTCTAGACGTGTCCTTTTTTGGAAGACCAAACAAAGTAGTTTTGCATTCACAACGAAACGCACAGCGTCTCGACATGGTGGCAGCAACAAAACTACAGCGAGAATAAAAGTTACGCCTTCTTTCTTTGCGTGAACATTTGGGCGGCGTTATGCAAATCTTCCCACATAGTGAGGTAGATATGTGGGGGCGTGTTAGAACGAGCTGTTTTAGGTAGGTGTGGCTTACTCTTAACTTTCATAAAAAATATCTCTTTGGATTTGAGACTTTAGTCTTTGCAACTTTACAGATCTTCTTTATGCACCAAGAGCTTGTAACACTCCAAAGAGAAAGGAAAACTTGAAATAGCACCATATGACCCCTTTAAAAAAGTTACTCTTTGTATGAACGTTGTGTTTTAGAATAGAATGTCGGGATGTATAGCTGTTTGTTTTTAGCAAAAACATGGGTGTACTGTGTTTTATTTTACTCCAAGAATAAGAATAAATCTATAAAGACGAAATGTTTTGGCTTGATGTCTTTTTGACCCAGTGTCCAGTAGGGCTGAAACGATTAGTCGACATTATCGACAACGTCGACAATAAAAAATTGTCGACAAATATTTTTGTTGTCGAGTAGACGTTTGATCTGATCTGCCCTAATGTAAGAGCCTGCAATAACGCGGTTTGACCAGTGTGGTGCTGTAGCACAAGACTATAATTCAGCTCTCCTGATGCAATTAAAGAGAAGAAGCGCTTCAGTTCAGAGCAAACGCAGCCGAACCTGAGGCTGCTGAGCGGCGTTTGGATGAATATGTAAATATATACTGCGCGTGTTTCCTCTCAATAACGAAATAAACAACAGAAACGGACAGAGGTGCGAAAGCAGCAGTTTACAACGCATCTGATTACAGCTATGTGGATGTTTACACGAGCTCTGCAGTTCGGTACTTCAGTAAAGTCCAGTCACGTCACGTTTATTTATGTAGTACTTTATGCAATAGCCTTAAAGTCACCATGAAATCAAAATATGTATTATTTTTTAATGGAATACTGTAGTGTTTATTATAAATAATTTATCCGTGCACTTCATTATTTAAAATAAATTAATGTGCCCTCGTAATCATTAATCAAAAATGTTAGCCTCCCCTCCCCCTCAAAACGACTCGTCTACTCTTCCGGTCACGAGCTATGGCGCAAGGGCGGAGCTAGTGACGCAAGGGGTAAACGCTGGGATAAACGACAGGGGGAAGGCTGAAGCTGATGCTTCACTTTATAGCACTGACACTAGTCATGAGGGAGTACGTTACCCCTAAACATTGAAAATATATTAGGATATTATGACAACATTACTCTTAAGACATTGCAAACAAATTTTTTCATGAAAATGACTTAACCTGATGGAGGACATGCTCAGTCATTCAGGCAGTCTCTCTCTCTCTCTCTCTCTCATGCGCGCTGTTTAGGCATGTTTTGTGCCGTTGATCATCGTTGTCATCCTTAATAAATAAAACATTTATTCATGCTTGGGTGTTGGCTGTGAATCCAGTGGAGAGAAATCCCCCACCACTAACTGCAAACTGGCATTCAGATCTGCCTCCATTTTGTTAGCAACGCCCCACCTTCCAACGATCCAATCAATTCCCGAAGGACGAAATCAAGTCCCGCCCTCTCATTTCAGATGCCGTTTCACTCGAATATACGTCACAGTAGAGAAGAAAAGACAATTGCAACTTCCGTTTCATGCCGACTTTAAATCAAGCTTTACAGTATTAAACATTTTAAACCAGAGTCAGTGTTGCTTTCAGTTAGAATTACAACTTGATTTTTTTGTGATAAAGCAGTTCTCCAGTGTAGAGCTAGCTAATGATGAAATCTTTTTATTAGTGGGGGGAAAAACGTTTCATAGTTATAGTTTGGTTTGTAGAGATCAAAGCTTGATCTAGCTCAGGACTTTTTTGATTATCATAACCCTATAAGGTATTTTAAGACCGAGTATGTTGTGAATAAAATAGTTTATCCAAAAATAAAACGTCTTATCACTTAACCTTTATTTAGTTTCTTATCCATATGACTTACAAAAAGAGATTTTAGGCAGAATGATGTGTCATTCAGCTACTTTCTCATATAGCTAATTAAATGGTGAATAAGAGTTTCTCTGCCATCTCATTTTGTGTGCCAAATATATTTATTTGTATAAATTTATTGTATAATTGTAATTACATAATTGACTTTCAAAAGCTGAAGTGATTACCTTAATTTATTTGTTAGAATATGTATAACTCAATATTTTAACTAATTGCAAAAGCTGAATAATCAATAAATGTCTACTGATTAACCAGCTAAATAATCGATGATTAGTCGATTAATCGGTCCAATAATCGTTAGATTAATCGATTATCAAAATAATCATTTGTTGCAGCCCTAGTGTCCAGGGTTTTGGGGCAGAAATGCCTATTACGGCTGGCCTGTGAAACGATAGATTGCTGCATTACTTTTAGATTGGCTCATAATCAGATTTCTTTTTATGTGTTTTTGCAGCATCACAATTATAACCAATCATCATTATAACCAATCACACATTTATGTTAAGCTTATGAATGCAAAGTCCAATCAGAAGCGTTTAGATTAGGCACTGCTTTTGTTAGAATAAATATAACTAAATATTTAAATTAATTGCAAAAGCTGAATAATCAATAAATGTCTACTGATTAACCAGCGAAATAATCGATGATTAGTCGATTAATCGTTCCAATAATCGTTAGATTAATCGATTATCAAAATAATCATTTGTTGCAGCCCTAGTGTCCAGGGTTTTGGGGCAGAAATGCCTATTACGGCTGGCCTGTGAAACGATAGATTGCTGCATTACTTTTAGATTGGCTCATAATCAGATTTCTTTTTATGTGTTTTTGCAGCATCACAATTATAACCAATCATCATTATAACCAATCACACATTTATGTTAAGCTTATGAATGCAAAGTCCAATCAGAAGCGTTTAGATTAGGCACTGCTGAAAATGCCAGAGATTAGTTCAGTGTGTCTGCCTGAGGAGGCCTTTGCAAATTAGAGACCTGTTTCAAAGAAACGATTGCCTTAAAAAAGAATGAATGAATGAATGATTGCCACTGGAAATTGATTCCTGGAGGCAAATAATGGAAATGTTTGTCTCTGACCCTGACCTTTTGTTGGGAGAAAAATTTTGCAGTACAAATGATAATGATACAGAATTGTCTTCTCTTAAATTTAAGCTCACCAAGTGTGTGGTTATTCTCCATTATTTCTTGTGAAACCTGCCTCACAGCAGGTTTAATCAAACAAACAAACAAACTAAAAAAAAAAATTTAAATCAATATTTGCTATAGTTTGTTTCATTTAGTCTACTGTTGGCCTGTTTCTAACGTGCTGACCTAGTTGCAGTTATAGCTAAACATGTTGTTGCTCAAATGCAGCTCTCTGTTGTTTGGACATTCTGTAGAATTGCTTTTTCCATAGGGAAATATATCATTACTGAAATTGCCTTCCAAATAAAATAAATTATGATAGCCTAGAGCTAAATAGTCTCTTAATAAATGAGTCACTTTTTTTTGTTTTACTATGAAAATAATGATACACAATAAATACACAACATGTCAAAGAACCAGGAGGACAAACCAATGCGGTGTCGCATTATAAAGAAACTATGGCCATTTAATTTAGTTAAATTTTCTTTTGGAGACTAAGTGTCCTGCAATCTCATCACATTAATAATGGTTTATCAAGTGATATTGAGAGATGTAATTGCATTTTCAAATATTCAATAAGTCTTTAAACTTTATTTAGCCTGAAGTGCGCAGGCTCAGTTTTACATTTTATCTGTTTTCTTGTATAGTCATAGTAATTTTTGCATACTGAGTTGTGAATGGTTTTGCCATCCTTGCATATATTCAACTGTTTGTAGCTGCTTTTAGTTCACAGTGACTATGCGTTGACTCTTGTGTGCAGTCGACTGAAATGAATACATACTGAATGTCATGGGAATGACAAAGCCCCTCTGATGCTGGATTTCGTCTAGGGCTGTGCGATATGGACAAAAAAAACCTATCGCGATTTCTTTGATCAATTTTGCGATTTCGATTTTAATCACGATTTTGACACACACAGACATGCTTTACAGTCATTAAAGCATTCAGTGTGAATTTGAAACATATTTCCAAAAGAAAACCAATTAGAGCTTTATCAAGAAGCTGTAACATGTCAGATGCTGCAGCACAGCAGAAATAGATTCCGTGCGGAAACGATCGCAGCATGACTGCTGCAGACACACGGCTCCTGGAGCCAGGGGCGGATTTAGTGATTTGGGGGCCCCAGGCAAAATACAGGAATGGGGCCCTATACAATTTCACACATCTACAACCTTGAGGTTTCTTTCACTGTTGCTCGCTGCTGCACGACCGTGTCCCATAGTTGTCCAATCTGTTAGATTTTTCATGTACATGTTATAAATAAATGATTTATTTAATGTTGTAAATCCCTTGTTCATATTTAAACAGGTTATAATGGTATAAGAGTAGTTTTGACACTAGGTGGTGCGTTGGG